TAACATTCATACCATATTAGTTATCATAAATAATTTAGAGATGATTTAAAGTGTTTGGGAGGATGTTTATGGGTTCTACACAAACTGCAGGCCATTTTATATACGAGACTTTAGTACTGAAGGATTTTAGTGTCCAGAGAGGGTCATGAAACCCCCAGACTCCCACACTGAGGGAGAACTATGAGCACAAGGGGCTCTGCTAGTACAAAGTTGAGGGGTAGCTATTGTGGCCAATGTGAGGTGACACTGGCACACAGTGAAGCACGAAGGGTGACCTCTCTAAAGAAACTGGCAAAGGACGTGCCAACAGGGAGAACAACAGGTGTAAGGATAAGAAAGTACATAGGATATTTAAGAAGTTTCAAAAAAACTGGTAGAGGGGGATCTGGTGGAAGTGGAGAGCAATTGGGCCGCATTGCCGAAGTCTCCTAAGCACAGCTGAGGATCAGATGCCTCAGTATACAGTGGAAACCAGCAGGAAGACCCAAGACACTCAGTTGTGCCCCTGTGGGAAGCATGATGCCCCCAAGCCACTAGCAGAGCCTACCCCAAGTTGGCATTCCAAACAACGCCAGCCAACTCTGCAATCAGAGGGCCCAGGTAATGGACATTTCACCTGGAATCTCCTGTTTCTTCCTTTTGGCTTTATCTTCTATTACATTTTAAAAAAATCGTTACTGAGTTACAAAGGGCCAGGGGTATAATCCAAAGAGACCGAAGTGAATGACTATGCAAATAGAGTGGGACATCATGAACTCAACATGACCTGTGCACTTGCTGTGCTGTGGGAGAAAGCACTAAGAATAAATGGAGCCTTAATTTTTCATTTTTTCCTTCTCCATCTTCTGATGCAAAATATGTTTCATTTAAATGATCCTTGGGCGAGGGAGGTCACAGGGCTGCTGGCAGGGAGAAGGATTCTTTTAATTGGCAAAATGCTAATCATTTTTGGAAAATGAATCCTAATCTTCCCATCTAATACTGTGAATGCGTGAGTAATTACTTTCCTTCACTAAACTGTTAATCCAACATTAGTGATTACACTAATTAAAACTAATGAACTCTTACAGACTGATAAACCCCTCAGTCAGTCAGCAGATGCCTTCTTTCTATTGGCTGTATTTAACTTCCCATTTGGAAGAAAGATTTTGAATTAACCTTTAGAATAATGTGCAAAATTGGGTTTAGAAATGTTAGGCTTTATAGATTAGGCATAATTTTTTTTCTCCAACCATTAGTGAGGCCATTTCCACTGAGGGTGTAATTGAATTTAAAAACACATTTCTTAATTTGATCAGCCACACTCCCTGGGTTGGTAATGGCTATCCCTCCGAATCCTGGCTTCCGAAGGGGAAACCTATCCCTGGAAAGTCACAGGACCTTTTCTCCAGCTCTGCTGGTTAACAAGATCACTTAGAAGATTGCCTTTCCTGTCCATTCGCCTCCAGGATCATTGCCCTGCAAATGCATTTCAGTGGGAAGAGGACTTTGCACCTAATTTTAAATGACAGGCTATTGCTTTGAGTTTGCTCACGCT